TACAAAGATTTTTTGTGTGTGCTGAAAATATTTTCCTTGTATCAAAGTTTGGATATTTGTCACTTTCTGCCACCTCACAGTCAGCAAGGAGGATCTTGCAAAGTATTCAGCATTTTGTTGAAACAAGATATTATGTTCTATATAGATAAAAATTATCTTTTAGTTTATTGGAGTAGAAGGGTCTTTCATGATCTTGTATTTAAAAGTTCTTCTGAAAACAACTCATGTTTTCAATTACAAAATAATACAGAGCTCTCAGTGAGTGTGATCATTTGAGTAGGCTCTTTAAAGCCTTTTACTATTAGGCCAGACATGGTGGCTCATGCCTGTAATCCTAGCACTTCGGGGGGCCAAGGTAGGTAGTTCACGAGGTCAGGAGTTCAAGACGAGCCTGGTCAACATGGTGAAACCCTGTCTCTACTAAAAATGCAAAAATTAGCCGGGTGTGGTGGCGCATGCTTGTAATCCTCGCTGTAAAACTCAGGAGGCTGAAGCAGGAGAATTGCTTGAATCCGGGAGGCAGAGGTTGCAGTGAGCCAAGATCGCGCCACTGCACTGCAGCCTTGGTGACAGAGGGAGACTCCATCTCAGGGAAAAAAAATAAAAAGCCTTACTGTTTGTCCTTTCCCCAAAAGCTCAGGATTCCTCTTCTTCTTCCACCCTTTGCTGGTATAGTTTCTTCATTTCTGCACAGCAAATTTCATTTAACATGTTGCCTTTTCTAGGAAACCTTTCACAACTCTCTTAGACATGTCCCATTGTGACAGGAATGAGGAAATAAGTGTAAAATACAAGTGGGTAAGAAAAAGGGCAGGAACTTCCATTATTTTGCTCCTCCAGCTAGGTGCCATTGCATCACTAAAGGGAAGAGCCAAAAGCTCTAGTCCGTCAGGATTGAGTGGCTGCTGGAAATGAGTCAGCGTCTCATGTCAAGACGTTTTGGAACTCTTTTCTCCCAGGCAATTCATGCCATTCTCTCTTTTCAGGTACATTTGCCTCTCATTGCTCTTGTTCTCTATGAAGAATCAAAGGCTTATGGTTTTTGAAAAAAGCAGATCTTGTTCATTGGAGCTGCCAATTTACTAATTACTTCTAATTATAGCAAATTGATAAACATAGAATTAAGTGCTGTATTGTGTACAGCAAAGTTTTTTCCTGAAAATATTGTTTATAATTTTTATAAATAATATATACCAGGTTATATTAACTAGGAAAGATTTAGAGTTTAACAGGGTTCTATGATGAATCTATTTGTGGAAGAAGATTTGTTTTGGCAAGCTCATTGGTCTATCTTAAAACCTGGATTTCCTCATGTAGTGTCTGGTATTTCATAAAGTAAGGCACATTTGCAGTCAGTTAAATCTTTTTCCTTTTGCAGAGACAAATAATTTCTTTTTTTTTTTTTCTGAGACAAATCATTTCTTAAGTGGGTATCACCAGATTCTTAGGGCCTATTTGCACTTATGTTTCTATAATTGGGTGGGCTCTGCCTTTCTAAATTAGAATTCATAAGAAGAGTGTATGGAATAGGCTACTAAGGTCTGTTGGCCATGAAGGCAGTGTCTCGGCTAGTGGCTTCCTCTTTTCCAAAACCGTGTTAGTGTCCTTGGGAACATTGCTTTGGTAAATACCTACTCCACAGTCCAGCTTGCTTTTTTCTAAATGTAATAAAGCCCAGTAACTTCAGTAGATTTTTTTGATTGACCACAGTAGACACAGAGTATGAGAAACAAAATAGAATCCTGAAACTTTCTACCTGGTAAACAGAGGAAGTAAGGATAGTATTTTCAGGGTCATTCAGTTTTAGGCAGCTATTCAATTCTGATGTGTTTGATTTATTGGAGATTTTGATTATTCTGTTCCCTTTTGTGGTAAACTGTCCAGTTCACTATACGTTTGTTGGAGGAGTATGATAATCCAAGTACCTGCTTTTATTTCCTTGTCTGCATGTATTTTATATTTCTGTTTACCCATCCATGGCATAATGTGATAATGTATTTTGATAAATGCATTGTTTTGCTAGAATTTTAGCCTATTCTGCGAAATGAAAAGCCCATGAGAAGACTTTAGGGCAGTATACTTGTGAGTATTGAAATTTATTTTTAACAATTAAAAAATACATATTGGTTTTGGAGGCACATTTGATGTTCTAATAATTATATTAATACAGAATGGATGCTTCTTAAAAATTTTTAGTGTAAATAAGCTTTTAAAATCTTACTATCTTAGGCACCTAAGTAATTTTACATTTTTATTTAGATGGATACTAGTTTAGGTGCTCATTTTGATGTTGTTTTTTAAAAAATGTTGACATTACAGTCCTTTCCATCTTTATTTTTAAGTGACAGCAGAATCCTGAGTATAAGAAACTGTGATTAATTCTCCCGTATTGAAATCATGTAATCATTCTTTGCCTAACAGCTGCTTTCTATTCAGTACACTGAACATAAAATTCTGGAGTGCCATTGTGCTGTCATAAATTTTAAATGTGAACCATTCTTCCTCTTAAGTATCATATGGTATTGCTGTTTTGAATTTGTCAGTTTGGTAGGGGGTTTTTCTAGAGATTGCTATTGTAGTTGGCTAGGAGGATCTTCTTCTGGGACTAAACTCTCCCTCATTGTCTATATCTCTGTGATGTTTAGTATTATATTACTATAATTTTTATTATTTGTTCTCAGGAAAGCAGTGAGGGAAAATTGGTTTGACCTATCATTCCTTTTATTTCTGTGGCATGTTGAAAAAGTGGACAAATGGGACCAAAACAAAGCAGTATTCTTACTTGGTCCTTTCAAGTCAGAAAGAGCCAGTTTTATAAATGTCAGTTCAACACATTTGTATTGACTCTATTTATAGAGTGGAAAAATTGTACCATGTGGAAAAATAAGGGTAATTAAGACTTCATTTCTTCCCTGTCTGGTAGGATACATGACAAAATTATATAAATAAATATAATTATATTAAAGGTTCTTTGAAAGCAAAGCTGTGCTGCCTTCTTTTTGTAAATCTTGCTTGCCATGTTCAGTTCATTGGACGTACTCACAGTATTCTCTCCAGCAGACTGCAATAATGGTGATACATAGACCTGAGATGGAGATTTGGGGTGGGGAGATCATTTGATTTTGGCCTTTAATGGAAGATATTATAGATGGAAGAGTCAGTGCTGACTTTCCTAAAATTTAACAGCCACCATTGCAAATAGGCTAACTAGGAACCTAGAGCTGGGAATTAGATCATTGTGACTCTAGATGCCAGGGAGATTCCTGCTGCTGGTTCATGCTTGATGGATGTGCCTGTTTTTGGTTGGGAGCAGTTGATCTCAGATTTCCCTTGCAATTTCTGCCTGGGGCTGTTCTACTGTCACTCGGTTTGTGAGCCCTTCTCATTCTGCTTTCTCTTCCTGATAAGAATCCCCTGATTTATGAGAGCAGTGTTCTTCAAATGGGAAACTTGGCTGTAGGCTTTTGTTTGTTTATTTTGCTTTTTGTTTTCTGTTTTTCAAAATAAACTGAGAAGGAGTTGCCTAAGGTGACTTAGGAGTTGTGGTCTCAGGTGATTTGGATCTATGAAAGAAGAATTTCAAAAGAAGGTGGCCAAAATATAAAAGGAAAATTCAGCACTAAATTTAGCAATTAGAAATTCAGTGGGACTCTTTTTATTTTTCATGTGGACTAAAAGTGTGAAAACTATTTTATACTCCAGAATGGAAGTTGAGTGATTAGGCTTTTGCTGTTTTTACCAAAATGATAAGTTGCTTTATAATAATGACTTTATTGCTCTGAATGAAAAGCTGAGTTATTCTTTTTCTTTCTTAGTAGAAACATCTCCCCTGTATTTGAAACCTAAAGTTACTTGGATTTGAATTGATGTCAGATTATTGGTCTGAGAATCAGCCAGTATGTTTTGAAGTACTTTATTCCCCAGGAACCACAAAGTTACTTAAATCCGAAATGACTTGGCAAAATCCTTGTCATTAGGATTGGAATTTGCCACGTCATTTAGGATTAACAAACTTGTGACTGTTTTGTTCTGTAATGAAAATGTCTGAAGAAGAACAGAGGTAAAAATGATCATATCTGAGTGAGTTGGTTTCAGTTAATCCTTTGTAGTGCAGAGTTTTATGGTATTACACCTTAAAAGTGGTGTTCAAATTTAATTTTGGTAATACTTATACCTAATAAATTGGAGATGTGGGTTTATTTTTAGGTATGTTGTGTGATCTCTTTAGTATTATAGTAAAGCATGAAAGTGACCATTGAAAAGCCATATCTGTTAGTGGTTCCATCATGCTATTGAAGTATTACAATTTTAGAGTATAAAATATAGTTTTATCATGAACATGCAAATAGGAAAAATATATAGTCCCAGTTTCTAATTTTTTTTTAAATTTCAAAATGGTGCAGTTGAAGTTTGAAGATACATCAGTTGAATTTTTGTTTTGAGACAGAGTCTTGCTCTGTCACCCACACTGGAGTGCAGTGGCACAATCTCGGCCCACCGCAACCTCCACCTCCTCGGTTCGTGATTCTCCTGCTTCAGCCTCCCAAGTAGCCGGGACTACAGGCATGCACCACCATACCCTGCTAATTTGAGTATTTTCAGTAGAGATGGGCCTTTGCCGTGTCGTCCAGGCTGATCTTGAACTCCTGACCTCTGATCCGCCTCCCAAAGTGCTGGGACTCTGTTGAATATTACTTAAATTTGTATAAGCCTTCAGTTTTGATTTCTAATGAAGAGAGGAACGGAAATATATTTTGTGGTGCCACCAAGAGAGTTCAGCACATCAGCTGCGTGAGTACCTGGTTCACCTATCAACAATAGCTCTTTCTAAAGCTTGAAGGTGAGAACTTTAGTGATTTGGCTTTGTCATCGTTGAATTGCTGCCATTAGACATCAAGCAAATTATAGAGGAGAGTTGGGGGCTGGCAAATGTCATACTCGTTTATTAAGATAAGATAATGACTGAAAATTGTAGGATGAACTAACTTTGCATACTTTTTAAAGAAAGGAACCTTAAAATTATTATTTTTTTTTTGAGACAGAGTTTCGCTCTTGTTACCCAGGCTGGAGTGCAATGGCGCAATCTCGGCTCACCGCAACCTCCGCCTCCTGGGTTCAGACAATTCTCCTGCCTCAGCTTCCTGAGTAGCTGGGATTACAGGCACGTGTCACTATGCCCAGCTAATTTTTTGTATTTTTAGTAGAGACGGGGTTTCACCATGTTGACCAGGATGGTCTCGATCTCTTGACCTCGTGATCCACCCGCCTCGGCCTCCCAAAGTGCTGGGATTACAGGCTTGAGCCACCGCGTCCGGCCCCTTAAAATGATTTTTATTCCTTCATGTTAGATTTTATAATTAAGAATTCTGTGGTAATTAATAAAAAGTCTGACTTTAGTTAGAATATTTCTCTAAACATGACTATGGAAGCCTATGTGTTATTTCAAGTAATCTTTTTCAAATAGCTGTATGTCCTTTATTATCCTTATTTATTTATTTGACATGGTCTGACTTTATCCCTCTTTTTTTTTTGAGACGGAGTTTTGCTCTCGTTACCCAGGCTGGAGTGCAATGGCGTGATCTTGGCTCTCCGAAACCTCTGCTTCCTGGGTTCAGGCAATTCTCCCGCCTCAGCCTCCCGAGTAGCTGGGACTACAGACGTGTGCCACCATGCCCAGCTAATTTTTGTATTTTTAGTAGAGACGGGGTTTCACCATGTTGACCAGGATGGTCTCGATCTCTTGACCTCGTGATCCACCCGCCTCAGCCTCCCAAAGTGCTGGGATTATAGGCGTGAGCCACTGCGCCCGGCCGATCCCTAATATTTTATGTTAAGAGGATGATTTGTGTTACATTGAAGATAACAAGGAAGCTCCTATGCTGAGGCTTGTGTTGAAATGAGATTTTCTATAATTCTATGAAACTGTTGGAGTGCAGCATTTTTCTGGAGGCACTTCTGTATCTTTTTGTAAGATTTTAGAATAAAGTGTGAAACAGAATCTTTAATTATTGTTTCACTGAATGAGGTCTGTGCTCCTCAAAATCAGTCCTCTGATCCCTTTTGGATTCAGCAATGTCTGAGAGATTTAGGACACCTTCTCATGTAAGCTTACGGCAATCTCAGGAAAAGTGACTTACACTAGGTAATAGTTACTGTTTTTTGCAAAGTAACACATGCTCCTTATTCCAAGTAATTGTGTGAGAACTTAGCTTCCATCTTCTGTGCCTATTGTAGGGATGTAAGACCAAGCAGGTACATGTCAGCGTTCCTAGTGAGCTGTAGCAAGGCTGCTCTTAGTGATGGAGTCTAGTTACATAAAAAATTTCAACAAAGATGGAAGTTTCACGTCTCATTGGTAGTTTTTAAAAACAAGTCACAACCCACAGAGATTTATCTTGGGGCTTTTCCTCTTCAGATATAAAGTTATTAATTTGTAGCCTGTGGCTCGAAAAGCAACAGAGGCATTGACAGAACATTAAGTTCAAACTTAATGTCAAGATTTCTACAGCGATTAGGCTGCAGGCGGGTATTTTAAAGATAATGGTGACTGTGGCTAATGTGATAAATGCTTGAGAGAAAGAGAAAACTCCCAACTCTAGCAGTGTTAGTGGGTGGGTTTCAGGCTTTGGGCTGTGGTTTACTTGGCTCTGAGGGTAAAGGTAAAAATCTTTGTGATACTATTTTCCTGTCTATTTTTTTTCCTGCTTATGTATTCATTGAAGTCTATTTTTATCATGTTTTCAGTTGCTGGTCATTTGCTAATGTTCAGGGAAGTACGTACTTTTGTGGCATATGTACACATTACGTTGAAAGTCTTTCGTGTTTGTTTTTGCACTATGATGTGAGCTAGTGTTTTAAACTGAAAGAAATTTCTATATGTATTATGGCCACGCCAATGGGAATGTCTTCAAATTCATGATATTTTGCTGCCTGCTTTATACAGACTTTTACTACTTGTTTTGCACATGTGCTTTATGGGAGTTCATCCATAACACATATTTTGTGTTATGCCTTGTCTTCTTAGTTACCAGCATCTGAAATATAGTACCTTTATTTAATACTATCATATACATAAAATTGTAATTTCATTTACCAGTAAAATTATTATGCTTTGTTCTCTGCTAAGTATTTCTTTATCCAATATGCATTACAAATAACTTCCTGATGTTATATTTTGTTTTTAGGTTAGTACGCTATCATTCAGTATCCTGAACTTATTTCCAACTGGATTCCTGTATAAAGTATATGAATATAATAATTAGTTTCTTTCTACAAAATCACTTTAAGATCACTCTCAACGCATGTGTTATAGAAAGTCTTTTTTAATACATTGCCTGCCCTAGTTTGCATCACTGGGATGCATCTGTATGCCTGTGCATCTTCTGTGCCAGCAAATATGAGATAGACAAACTGAAGTTTTGTGATTAGAATGCTATTTTAAATTTACCTGAATATATACTTAAATAGAGTACAACAATAATAGCTTATATTTATTGAGGTCTTCCTATATGTCAAGCTGTGTTCTAGGTAATTTATCACTGTACACACTTTTCTGTTGCTGTATAATAAATTACTAGAGTAATCTTTGGGTTCTTCATCCATAGATTCGGTCACCACAGATAAAAAATGTTTGAAATGAAAATAACAGTACAATAAAAAATAATATAAAATAAAAAAGTGTAAAAACAAATTTATATAATATTTATATTAGGTATTATAAATAATCTGTAGATGATTAAAGTATACAGGAGGATAGGCACAGGTTATGTGCATGTAGTATGCCATGTACTCTAAGGGACTTGAGCATCTGTGGATTTTGGTATCCACAGGGGTGCTAGAATCAATACTGAGGGATGAATGTGTGATCTTAGTGGCTTAGAACAGCACTCACTTATTCATAGAGTGTGTACTCCATGCGTGCAGGAAGTTTGGGGCCATCTTAAAATTCTGCTAGCCACAGTAAGTATGAACTCATTTCCTCCTCACAGCAGCTCTGTGAGCTTGGCACCGTTTTTAGCAGTATTTATACTTGAGGACACTTGGTCACAGGAGTCACAGAACAGCAAAGTAGCAGAACCTGAACAGCAACTTGGGCAGCCTGACTTAAGAGCACAGACTCTATCTGCTCTTCAGCCCTAGGAGCTCAGCATTGTAGCTAGTCATTCCATCGCTTTTTCTGTATGTCCACAATTCTCCGTTCTTTCTCTTGTCATATAGTGTTCCTTAGAAGATGCACACATTTGTGTTGTTTAGGAAACCGTTACTTGGGTCCACATACCTTTTGTACGGACTTGATTTTACTTTCTTGGCCATTTGAGTAACCTGAGTCACAAACCTAACTGCAGGATCCTGCCCTACAGACTTGCTTGTTTGTTCTGTACATGGCTGTAAATTCATTCTTTTGCTGTTAAGTCTTGCCAGTACTTGTAAAGTCTAGATTTAGCTTTTTGTTGAAAATTGGGAGTTGTGGCTATTGCCGGACCAGTTCCCACATGGCGATAACTTGCTTGAGCTAGGTAGCAGCCACTCCTTTTGGTGAAGTGTGAGCCATGCAATTGGCTATATTCAGCCTGCTTAGCTAATCCTAACCTATTCTGTTCAGTCTTAACCTGAACTTAAACTTGAGCTAAACATACATTAATCATTATAACAGAGGTAGTCTTCTGTTTTCCTACTTCACCTGTTGTTTTTTTCACCTGAATTCCTTCTCTATTTAAAAACCCACCATGGTTTTTAGTAGTGAAATCTAATTCAGTCTTTGCATGAAAACAGTTTCACTTGACAGAGAAATCCAGCCCACAGTGAATGAAGCAAAAAGGGAATTTGTTGGCTATTAACTGAAAAACGCCTCCTTTTAACATTGCTAAGGCCAGGGGCTCAAACAGTGTTTTTAGGATCTGGTCTTCCCCCATTGCTAGGCTTTCGTTCCATGAGTTCCTTCGGATTCTCCCCCAGCCTTTGTTCTTACGGTGGCAAGACAGTGGCCAGAAGTTCTAGGTTTTCATCCTCTCAGCTCCAAGTTCAATAGGAAAAATAACTTATTTTTTTTGTTGTTGCTTAAGCATGATTCCCAAGATTAGCGGTAATTGTATTTCATGGGCATGGCTTGGGTCAGGTATGCACTGTTGAACCAATTGCTGTAACCAGGGGAATGCAGTATTTCTATTTGCTTGGCTTAGCTCGCATGCCATCCCTGGAAGTTCATTCCAAGGGAGCACAGAGACAGGAAGGGCTGATTTTCAGAGGAATATGGGGAGTGAATGCTAGGTGACAGAAATAGTGCCGCTTCCTTGCTGACTTTGTGTTCCTCTCTTCAACTTCTCTAATAGGGATTATCAGTGACACATATAATATTCTGTTTTATATTATAGTCACTTATTTATTTACTCATTTGCCAGACATTATTTAGTGCCAATGATGTTGCAGGCATTGCGCAAGAGGATGGGGGTAGAAAGATAAAAAAGACACATCAGTTGCCCTCAGGGAATTCACAATACAATATGCATAATTTGCTCCCCAGCTGGATCGTAAAGCTTAGGAGATGTCAGAAATGTTACTGTGTTCCCTTATAGCATATAACATAATATATCTCCTAAAATAGACTCTCAATAGACAGTATAAAATGTGTGCATGCAGCTTATTAAAACGTATTTTCATTACTTCAGACTTGCTAGGTGAATGGATCTTAATTTGTGGCCATGTTATTTACACTCATACCTGAAAATCATTCCCACTATAGCTCTGTTGTTTACCCTTGTCCCTGCAGGAAGTGTGCTACCGCCTCTCTCAGGCACCTATGGAATTTTTCCAGCACTCATCTCATTCTGTCTTTTATCATGGTTACTTGTTGGTTTATCTTGGCTCCTGTACCCGAATTGGACGGTCTTGAGAGCAGTGAATTGCTTAATAGATGTTTGCTGACCTGAGTCTGCTGAATGGTGGAAATGTCAGTGTTTTGACCTGGGGATTCGTTTCAATTCTTTTTTTCATTGTCTGTTTGTATTTTATTTGTTCATAAGGCTTTGTTCAGATTTTCCCTTAAGTTCTCATTATGTTTAATGGGTAGATTTGAGTTTTGCCCTTCATTAGTCTTCCATGTACACCTTTTGGTTCTGGTAGTATTTTAATACTTGTCACACAGTCAGGGTTGGTATTGATAATCAGTGGGGACTTATATCTCTACAAAGCTGAACTACCCTTAGGATGGACAGCATTATTATAGAAAGAAAATGAACTTCACTGACAGGCCAGATGTTTTCTGTTATCCAATCTGAAGTTAATATCCTTTGTTTCTCTTTTGTTTGCAATAGAATCCAGACTTTGATTTTCTGAGGTCTTTGTAATCAGTAAAGGAAAAGCAAACTTGATGTGCTTTGAGAAGGATAAGAGCCAACATTGAATATTGTCTGTATTCCAGGCACTGTGTCTTGCATATATTGTATTTTAAATCTTCACAACAGTTCTGTGGGGGTAAGTACTCTTATTATGCCTGTATTCCAGGAGATAGGACCGAGGCTTAGAAAGATGAAGGAGCTTGCCCAAAGCCACATAGGTAGTCAGTGGTAGAACTGATCCCTAACCTAAGATGTCCGTAATTTTAGAGTTCATGCTTTTAGTACCTGGAAAGTACAGAGGCATTTGAAAATTCCAGATTCATACTCGGCATCCCACACCACCACAAAGATCTATAGCATTCTCATTCAGGTCATACTTTAAACATTGCTGGCTGCTTTCCTCATCCATATACCTAAGAAGGCAATTTTGGGTATTTTAGAAATCTCTTTGGTAAAAGCAACAGCAGACTATAGAAGCCATCAAGTTGCTTTTAATACAGGTAAGTCCCCTTGATTCTTCAACACAGACAAAACCATTGTCTACAGTACATGAAAATATGCACATTCAACTATGCCAATACATTTTATCACTTATTTGAAATGTTTATTGCAGTTTCTAAAACAACTATGTGCATTATAAAAAGTTAAAGTAAATAAAAGCACAGATCGGAAATTCAAGTACTCTAGAAACCTTCTTAGAGACCAGCACTGTTAACAGTTGGGACCGCATTTATATCTTTTTTTGTGTATACACAGCTACGTGCATACCACATATGATTTTTAATGATTGTATACTATTCCATTGTATGAACTTGTTACATTTTTTTAAACTTTTTTTTTTTTTAAAGTTTAGGGTTACATGTGCAGGGTTGTTATATAGCTAAACTCGTATTATGAGGGTTTATTGTACAGATTATTTTGTCACCCAGGTATTAAGCCTAGTACCCAGTAGTCATTTTCTAGCCTAGATTACAATAGTTGTTTTTCCTGATCCTCTCCTTCCTCACATCCACCACCCTTAAATAAGCCCTAGTGTGTGTTGCTCTTCTCTGTGTGTCTATGTGTTCTCATCACTTAGCTCCCACTTACAAGTGAGAACATGCGGTGTTTGCTTTTCTGTTCCTGTGTTAGTTTACTAAGGATAATGGCCTCCAGTTCCATACATGTTCTTGAAAAGGATATGATCTTCCTTTTTTATGACCGCATAGTATTCCATGGTGCATATGTACCACATCTAAACAATCCAATCTACCATTGATGGGCATTTAGATTGATTTCATGCTTCTGCTATTGTGAATAGTGCTGTGAAGAACATAGATGTGCCTGTGTCTTTATAATAAACAATTTATATTCCTTTGGGTAGGTATCAGTAATGGAATTGCTGGATCCAATGATGGTTTTGTCTTTAGTTCTTTGATGGATCGACACAATGTTTTCCCCAGTGGTTGAACTAATCTACACTCCAGTGTATAAACGTTCCTTTTTCTCTGCAGCCTTGCCAACATCTGTTATTTTTTTGAGTTTTTAATAATAGTCATTCTTACTGGTGTGAGATGGTATCTCTTTTTGGTTTTGATTTTGATTTCTCTAATGATCAGTGATGTCGAGCTTTTTTTCATACACTTGTTGGCTGCATGTAACACATTAATTAACCAGTACAGTACTGAAGTATTTCCATTTATTTCTACTGTAGAGAACATCAATATACATACATCTTTGCATATGAAACTGGGTTTAATGTAGGATAAATTAGTAGAAATGAAGTTGCAGAAGCAGACTTTATATTTTTATATGTGTTGCCAAATTTTGCTGTAATATATATTGTATTTACACTCCACCAAGCCTATACAAAAGCACCGCTTGCTGACAACCTTGCTAGTATAGGATATAGTTATTCTTTTTAATCCTTGCCAATCTTAAAAGTGATTTAAGTAATGCGTCTTTGTAATTTTACTTTTCATTTTTTAGTTATTTGATTTGGGTGAGTTTTAAATCATGAAGCTTTGTGCAATAAAACCATGAGACTTTGACTCTTTTCCCTGTGAAACTTTTAAGGTCGTGACAGTTCTAGGGAGTTGTAGACATTTTCTTAGGCTCTTAAAAGTAGAGGTGTTTCTTCTTTATATGATGAAGTGTAATATACAGGGAATGTTACATATTCTTGATGATCCAGTCATCATCATTATATAAAGATAGCTTTTGGTACAATCTTATTTTTAAAGCCATTAGGTATAGAAAGTTTTTACCTGGTAGAAGTATGTCTTTTACTTTATTAGTACAAAACTTCCATCTTGTCTCTGATATTTTATGAGGGAATACTAGAAAACAAATGTGGCAGCTCCTATAATGACATCTAAATAGTATTGAAAACACAAGATGGCTTCTTATATACAGGTTTATTTTACATTCATGTACTTTGAACTTAAATTAATTATTAGGCATTAGGTTTGGTTTGTAAACTTTAATATGATTTTGGTCATAGAGAAAATTAATATTCCGTATTTAGATTTTTTTCAATTTGCCACCTTTGTAGTTCTTGAAATTAGTATGCACTTACGTTTCATTTTTTACCTGCTGTAATAGCTTCTAATTATTATCATTTTTTACCTCAGTAAGTATGTTCTTGCTCTTTATGAATGCTCCCCCCTCAGAAGTTCTTTCTTATTTCTCTTTAGCTGTTGACAAGTGGCAGTGTCTGTGAGCCTGCAGACAAAGGAAAAGCTTATGTTGCTTATTGTCTTTCCATAAGAGGGTGTAGCAAGAGAGGAAAAGAGCAGCTAGACTGCCCATCCCCCTTCATTTAAACCATCTCATAAAAATTGAAGATGATGGAATATTCATCATACTGGAAAGCACTCTTACAGTTATAATTCATAAATAATATTGGCAATTAAATCCAAGACGTTCTGTTAACAGGAACCAAGAAGTAAAGCTGTCTACCTCTAAAATATGGAGATCATTGTCCTGTGAGACAAGGATGAATGGCGATAGCACATATTTAGAGCTGAAATGGAAGTCTTAGAAGGAAAAATAGCTTAATTTAATTAAAAAGCTTTGCTAATCTTGGATAGATTCATAGAATTCTTTGGTCAATACAGTGAGTCTCTGGTATTTATACATCAGAATAACTGAATATTTGACATTTGATGCATCAGAAAATACTCTGGTCAAGAAATTTATTTTCGTCTGGGGTTAAAAACATTTTCATTACAGGCCGGTAATTTCAAGTTCTGGCCTTAAAGAATAAATGCCGTTGTCCTTTTAACTTAAGAAGGGCTATTATGTAAGCCTGAATCACTTACCTTTGTTTGTTGAGGGTTCTAGATTTAGAACATAAGACAAACTTTTTGATGCATGGTTTCCCTGCTAACGAATTAACCCTTTGTAGGCCAGTTTCTGCCTCTGTCACTGTATTGAAGTGAGTTCACTAAGTAGCTAGTTACATCATAATGCTGAGTACAGTATTCTTTTTCTCTTCCTGTATCCTGTTTGGCTTCTCTGAGGCATGTATTGTTGACGGTTTCCTTTAAGAAACTCTCCTTTTTTGACTTTGAAGATACCTTTGTCACCTTGTTTGTTTCGTCTCTATGGATCTTCAAATGTCGGTATCCCTTAAACATGGTCCTCATTTCTCTTTCTTACTTTCTTTTTCACATTGTTTTCCTAACTAGATTCAACTATTACTTAATTACCATTGAGTGAATTTTTGTCTCTGTGTCAGACCACCCTCCTGAGTTCCAATTCCATTTCTAACTGCTGGCTATTTATATCTCTGGATCATTACCCAAACTATTTAAAGTCTGAATGATTATCTAGCACTTTTCCTCAAATCTGCATCACTCATGAGTTTTCTTTATTGTATTTCTGTAGTGTTACCTTCCTCTACCTAAGTTCCTCAACCTAGAACATTTCTAGCATCTCTGTGATCTTTAAGAACAATATCTCAATAAAAATCTGTTATCTGTACTAACTGTAGTACAGATAAAAAATGCATAAATTATTTATTAACCACTTAAATAAATATAAATCTAAATAAATAGGAATTTAATATTGTATTAATATTTTATCCGAACTTCATAAAATTTAAAGTGTCTAATTTTCTGAGGTTTGCTGAATCTTAACTGATTCCTAACAAATGTCTTTAGCTAATCCTTTTCAGAGGGATGGAGGAAAGTTCTCTAATTTTATATAGAAAGTAGAAGGAAAATGATTTATGGAAAATTAGATTCTACACAATGTTCAAGACTATTTCAGAAAATAATTTAGTTATTTTATATATAAATATATAAAATATTTATAAAAATGTTATAAAAAGTATATACTGTTATATGTAAATCTGCATTAACTGTAAACTGTATAGGTTAAGGATGAGTAGCCAGTTTCTTCTGTCATGAATATAGGTATTTTCTTGTAAAGCCAATTTATTGTTGAAGGCAAAGGAATTGCAATTTTTATTCTGGTTGTCTTTCTGGACATTCATCATGCATATCCTGTTCAGTAAAAATCATTAACAAATGGAAAAGAAATGAGTTGTTCATGGCTAAAATTGTGGAGGCAAGTGTTACCGTTTCTTGAATAGTTGTAGAAACAAGTACTTGAAAAGTCTAACTGGAGAGAAAATCTGTATGATTTTCACAGGCATGACTGAGGCTTTGATGGTTGTGTAGAAAATTTCTCTGCATGCCCAGACTTCAGAATGGCCTAATTAATAAGAACAACTTCTTTCCTTTCTTGTTTAGAATCAGTTTATTTTGAATATGTCCTTCTAACATTTTCAAGTTTAAAGTAGGTTAAAACATCCGAGAGTGTTCTAGAGTGCAAAACCTACCTCTCCACACATACATGCATACATAAGACTGCAAAACAAAACACTGAAATCACACCTTTGAATTTTCTGTGAGAAATTTAGTCTTTATCATTCATACTTCCTTTGAGGATTGATTTTGTTCTCCTTTTGATGAATTTTGACTTTCTTGTTCCATACCTGTCATCTCAGTTGTTTAACGATTTATTTTTCTTGCTCAGAGAATTGAGTTTTCCAGATCATATGGCTATAGCTTGTATCCGTGTCAAGGTCAAAATCTTTTAATTTTATTGATGGAACTAGTATTGTAACCTGAGGGTCTCCTGCTGTGTATTTAAATCCTGTCACATTACCTAAAAACAGTCATATCTTGGTTTTGGTCCAACAGATACTTTTATTAAATTCCTTGGCTACGTCCAGTTTGCTTTTTCCTTGAGAGAACTATAACAGAATACCACCAGCATCATGATCGCAAATAGATTGTTACCGTGGCAACCCGACAGTTTTTAATATTAGAATTTTCTTGTTAAAGCAAAAGTTATGGCATTGGAGACCTTTCGCTGACTGAAAACATTCTGCTGTCTCTTGTCGTTGGAATTACACTGTTTCCAAGCAGAAAACTGTTATTCTTTATTTAGAAAATTCTTTGTTTACTGATTAACCCCTCAGCTACTATGTTAAGACCTTTGTTTTCTCAGCTGTAGACCCTTACGTGGGTCTGATCTTTTACACTGCTGAGTAGCAGTGAGATCGGTAAGTGACACCACATAAATAGAATCACGGTTTGGTCTCTGACACCAAAGAATATTACCACCTACTGACTGCCTGAGTAGTCTTGGGAGATTGCTTAGGTTCTGGTGCTGCTTTTAAAAATTAGTAAGTGTCAATACTAATTCTTGCCTTAACTTGTCTCATAAGCTTGTTTTAACAAAGTAATTCATAAAATATTCGTTGTTGCATATTATTAACAGTGAATAATGGAAATAAGTAATGTGCAACATATTGGATTTATGTATTATTTAACCTCCACAGTAACCCTGTAAAGTAGGTACGTTATTCTTACCTTATATATGAAGACATTTGTTGGCAGAACACCTAATTGGGCTGGGTGTGGTGACTCATGCCTGTGAGGTGGGTGGATCACTTGAGGTGAGGAGTTCCAGACCAGCTTGGCCAACATGCCAAAACCCTGTCTCTACTAACAATAAGAAAATGAGCCAGGCATGGTGATGGGTGCTTGTAATTCCAGCTACTTGGGAGGTTGAGGCAGGAGAATCACGTGAACCTGGGAGGCGGAGGTTGCAGTGAGCCGAGATCGCACTACTGCATTTCAGGGTTGGTGACAGAGTGGACTCTGTCTTAAAAAAAAGAAAGCTTGGGGCCAGGCACGGGGGCTCACGCCTGTAGTCCCAGCACTTTGGAAGGCTGAGGTGGGTGGATCACAAGGTCAGGAGATCCAGACCATCCTGGCCAACATGGTAAAACCTTGTCTCTACTAAAATTCAAAAGATGAGCTGGGCGTGGTGGCACACTCATGTGGTCCCAGGTACTCGGGAGGCTGAGGCAGGGGAATCACATGAACCGGGAGATGGAGGTTGCAGTGAACTGAGATCGCACCACTGCACTCCGCTCTGGCAACAGGGCGAGACTCCATCTCAAGAAAAAAAAAAGGAAAGCTTAATTAGTTTACCCAGATCACACATAGATGTATACATGGACTCAGAAAGAGTTGTCTGTTTCTATTTTCAGGGCTTTCTCAACTAATTCTTTTGCCTATCACGTAGCTGGCACATAGTAGGCACTGCATTTATGAACACTTAGCTGAACACTTGAAGGCAATGGTAGTCTGCTCTCAGTAAGACTACCATTTATAGATAAATTTAATCTGGTCTAGTCAAGAAATTAGAAATTGCTAGAGCTAATTCTGCAAGAGGGTAGGCCCTAGTTTCTGTAATTTTCTATCATTCATCTGACCTTACTGAGTGAGTGCTGTGTGTCAGGGACTCGTATTTAGAAATGAGGAAGACATTCTCTATATAGATGATGGATAATGCTGTGGAGGTAGAAAGAACGCAGGGAGAGGGTAGGTAGAAAAGAAGATAGTAGCAGCATGGATGGAACACTTTGGAACAGGAATATTTAAGAGGCAAGCTGAAAAAGAGAAGCCAGCAAAGGCAATTGAGAGTGAGTAAAGTGGGAGGAAAACCCGGAGAGAATATATCATAGAAACTAAGGAAGAAAAAACACTTTGTGGAGGTCAGTAGTTTCAGGTGCTGCTGAGAGGTCAATTAATGTGAGGACTGAAAAGTGTTAATTGAATTCAATAATAGAGAATCCTTTGGTTAGCTTTGCTAGAGTACCTTAGAGTAATGAGCGCTTGATCAGTTTGAAAAACCTGATTATGAATAGAAGAAAAGAATAGGGCACTAATTAAGAGTGTGGAGTTTTTGGTTCTGTTTGTTTGTTTTGAAGAGATTTGAATGTGTGAAGCAGCAAAGATGAAAATTTAAAGATTAGTGGGCAAAAGGGTTATTAGTGATGAAGTGACATTTCTGAGCAGGTGAGAGCAGAGGAATTAGCCTTGAATCCTGGGAACAGGGATTCAAAATCCTCTGCGACAGTCACGGGGTTTTCCACTGCGCAAGAAGAGGTTTCTTGGAGTCGTCTTGCTAGTAGGAGGGCTGATTTCGCTCCATGTCTGCAAAAGTGGAAGCACATGTGTGAATGCTAATATGTATGTGATACTACTTAGAGGTTACAGTCTCTAATTTTTTTAACTTGCCTTCTGATACTGGCTTAAAATAAGTTACAGTTTAATTAAAAGTATTTATTGATCACACTTACCACACCTATGGTAAAGCAGCCTTCTAAAAGCTGCAGGTCTCTAGGGTGCCAGCGAAACATTAAAGTACATAATACATGTAGATGAGGTAACAGAAGTGAATGATTTGTTGTACAGACTACATGACCAAACAGTTCAGAAGATCCCTGTCAATGCTGGGGCCTCATGAAGAGATCATCCACTAAGTCAAGGACTGATAACTTTCTTTAGGGGTGATATGTTACAGTTTAGGGCTCCACAGTACTTTCTTAGTGAGGAGATGCAAATTGGCCTCATAACCCCTCATATTCCACCATGTATGGAATAGCATCATTCATGATCTAGTTGTTGTTTTTTATGGTGCAGTGTTTTTACAGTACAGATGCATTTACCCACCAAATATGATGGCTTGGAATGGTCCTTTGTGATCTTCCTTAATTTCATCAGCAAATTTTCCCAACCCATGTTTCAGTTTTCAGTGTTAATACTTAGCATTAACTAAAATTATGTTCTTGAAAATGGCTATATGTTGACCCTTTCCTTATGTTTTTTCATTGTCTCCCATGCTCCTTGCCTAAACACCCTGTTGTTTGGTCAGCGCTTTGTGTTCCTTTGTTTTATAAAAACTCCTATTTCAGCATGACTCTTTTGCCCCTGAAAGCTCTCAAGTAATAGATTGGCAATACCTGTTCGTGGTCTTTTGTTGAAGGAAAGCTTGTAATATGTCATTCCTTTTACTGTGTCGCATGGTTTACTGCAGCTTACCCCTACAAAAT